CGGAGGTAAGTCAATCGTGATTGCACTTCTTACTCCATTTTGTCATCTCCCCAGTCTCTCAAACACTAACTGGGTTGAGTTTTTCTAGCCAACGGAAACCCAAAATAACAGGACAAGATGGAGAGGAGATCACATGGAACACAATATGTTCAGTATGAAAACACCAAGGGATAAAGAAAAAGGCTTAGTCTCATGAGTAATGTGAGGAGTAAAAAGTGGTCCACCATCTATGGCCTCAACAGCCAATATGCACTTTTGGGCTAACCACAACAAGGCAATTTGGACTAGAAAACCAGGGAAATATAAGGCCTTTGCCTAACAGTAATTGATTGAAGTCATAAGTAACTGCTGAAAGACCCTAATTCATCAGTGACAATTTTTATTTCTTTTATAGCAATTCAAACAGTTTTGCTGAATGAACACTAGGTGTTGCACCATTCAGATGTCGGCACAAATAATCAAAAAGAGGCACAGGCAGTATGCAAAGTCTATCACCCTATCACAGCAGCTATGGGGGTCCTCAGAACAGGTAAGTATTACACCACCACAGAAAGCACCTTCAATTGGGATGTGAGCATCAAAACTGGACTATAGAGCAATGGGAGAAGGTTGCCTGGTCTGATGAATCACGTTTTATTTTAGAGCAGGTGGATGGCTGAATGATGTGCATAGTGGGGAAGAGATGACAGCAGGATGTACTGTAGGAAAAGCCAGTGTTATGCTGTGGGCAATGTTCTGCTTGTGTCTTGGCATTCATGTGGTTGTTACTTTGACATGTACCACCTACCTAGAGATTGTTGCAGACCGTGTACACACCTTCATGGCAATGGTATTCCTGATGGCAGTGGCCTCTTTCAGCAGGATAATGTACCTCGCCACACTGCAAAAATAGTTCATGAATGGTTTTATGAACATGACAAAGAGTTTAAGGTATTGCCTTGGTCTCCAAATGTTCAAGATGTTAATCTGATTGAGCACCTGTGGGATGTGCTGGTAAAGCACATCCAGTCCCACCTCACAACTTGCAGGACTTAAAAGATCCAGTGCTAATGTCTTGGTGCCAGATACTACAGGACACAGTTAGAAGTCTTGTGGAGTTCATGCTGTGATGCATCAGAGCTGATTTGGCAGCGTGAGGTTGACCTAAACACTGGTCAATCACTGTATGTATGTTGCTCTTCCTGTTTGTAGTTGCACATGTATGTGGGTGAATACACTTTCTCTGTTTATTGTCTAAATATTATTTAGTATTATGTTCAATAAAGGTTAGGAAGTTAACCCTCATAGGAAATTATTGCAGTTTATTAAAAACAGTAATAATACCTTTGCAGTGTTAAGGGACCTGGGACAATGCACCCAGACCACTTCAATGAGCTGAAGTGGTCTTGGTGCTTATAGTGTCACTTTAAACTAAGTAGGGGCATGAATACCGTAGAGTTTGATATACATATATGTATTCATAATGCTGCTGTGTTCCTTTAAGATTCTATTATTTTCATGGGGGCTCTTAGATTTAAAATGTTTGGAATTTTTATATCATACAACCTTTCATACCATTGGATTTTTGAAATTTTATTTGAGAACTATTAGACATAGCTAAAAAGACCATCTAAAAAGCTCACCACAATATTATAAATGCAAGGAGCTTTATATGAGATCATGTATAATCCTAGTTTGGTCCTCAATAAAACACGTAAAACTCACTGTCTGTTCAAGGTGTAATAAGGAGTTTGTATTCTCTTTACTTGCCTTTGGAGCACAAGATATAACTCTATCTCACAGCATTTTGTTTTATTCAAGTATTATAGGATTTAAATACCCTCTTGCTGTACCAAAGGCTAGTTCTAGTTGCTGGACTGGTAAATCCTGGCATGACCATCCAATCTACTCTCCAAATAAAAGCACTAATTATACATTATATTTATATAATAATGATGAAGTACACCAAATTTACAAAGTCTATTCTCAAATGTTTCACGACATCACAACAATCAAAGCAAGCAAAGTTTTAACTTGGTGTACTTGCATTTTCCATACATAAAATTAGTTTATCCTGCAAGATATTGGTGAAAAAATAGTCACCTTTGAAAAGACTTTACGTTCTGTTACAGTGCTCAATAGTTTAACTATGCAAATGAAATTGCAGTGTTGCAATGTACAGTTTTGAGACAGTCAAAAATGGCTTGGTTGTTGGGTGAGGCAGTTGATAATGTGATGAGAATAATGATAATTTTGGCAGCAGAAAGATATAACCAACATTAGGTATTCTGAAAACTTCACCGTAACACTTGTCCATTGTTCGCAGTAACACATTAAAAGGAACACATTAGAAAATCTGATAAGATTTGGATCCTTTGAGTATAGGAGGAACCCTCTATTTTACATTAAAAAAACTATTGTATAAAATTGAGTCTACCCAGTCTAATAAAAAAATAAAATAAAACAGCATTCATTATTTTTATTATTATTATTATTATTATTATTATATGCTCAGCCCTTCACTCATTTTCTTTTTTATGTTGTCAGCAATGTCCACTGTTTAATTTTTGATCAGGACTGAGTAGACTAAACTGATGGGGTCTCCAGCTTAGTTGCTATATCTCACTATTATATGCTCGCAGAGATTGGCAGTCTGTGATTTCAGATTGGTACAGTAGGTAACTTGATTAGTGTTTGGCCATGTCCCTGAGGTAACCAGCAATATGCAGCCTCTCTTCGTTCTTTCCTGTACTTATAATATTCCTGCATAGTGTGTGCAGTAGGCTGTGAATTTGCTATTTTTCATAGTTAATGTATTTAGTTAGATGAAGGTTGATTATTTGTAAATATAGTTTTTCAGTGATATTTGGAGAAACCGTTATTACCTATTTTAGGAATAATCAGAGTTGATAGTACCAGCTGGGCTACATCCTTTCGTTTGAATTCAGATCCTGTGTCTGGGTAAAAAGGCATTTCACATTATTATTCCAGCCTTACTTTCAATCTCTTTATGTTACCCTGGTTTTTGATTTGCCATATTTTGAGCATAAAATCCTAATTCTTTATTTATATTATTATTGCTAGTACTATTTGAGTTTAAACATCATATATAGAGGGATTTAATTTGATCTCTGGGAGCAAAATCCCTTTGCTTTTATTTTTAGCCATGTATTAGCATCATTACTCTCAAGGATTTAACCCTGAAGGGTATTATAATTTTCATGAACTGCTCGTAGTTTTCATAGAAATATATTTATTATAGACTGTACTAACACATTTTTGCCCCTTTGCCTTTACCCAGACCCATAGTCAAATGTGTAACACATTTTTTCATTTAGTGATTCAAGAATTAATTGTACAATATTATGGCAAATGTGTGTTCATTGGCAAAGTAATCAATACGCTCTTTTAACACACTACAACCAGGGTTTTTATTTTCAACGATGCTTAATCATGTAATGTTCCTTTTAATTTCCCTGCAAACAGGAATTTTAGTCAGCCCAGCCTGAGTGGTGCTACATTGTACATATCTGTAAGATTTATTTAGATCTGGTCATCTTTGTGACTAATTCTGAAGTGTTCTACATACTCATTGTAAGTTAAAAAAAAAAAATGTTAAATGTTCTTACTTTTCTTTGGTGTTTAGTACATTCTGTAGGTTAATCCCAAGATAGAACTACTGCTGTCTACCTGGCATCTTGCATGTGACTATCTCTACTATTTCTCGAATGTATTACTTTTATCATCTGCTAGTGTCTAAATATAAACAGGTGTTACCTAGTTACATATGTATATAAGTCATTGATGACCAGATGTTTAGAAACATAGAAACATAGAAACATAGAAACATAGAAACATAGAATGTGATGGCAGATAAGAACCATTCCGCCCATCTAGTCTGTCCAATTTTCTAAATACTTTCATTAGTCCCTGGCCTTATCTTATAGTTAGGATAGCCTTATGCCTATCCCATGCATGCTTAAACTCCTTTACTGTGTTAACCTCTACCACTTCAGCTGGAAGGCTATTCCAGGCATCCACTACCCTCTCAGTAAAGTAATAATTCCTGATTTTATTTTTAAACCTTTGCCCCTCTAATTTAAGACTATGTCCTCTTGTTGTGGTAGTTTTTCTTCTTTTAAATATAGTCTCCTCCTTTACTGTGTTGATTCCCTTTATATATTTAAATGTTTCTATCATATCCCCCCTGTTTACATCAGCCACCAGAAAGAAAAGAAAAAACATCCCAACAATTAAAAAAAAATGTAATTGTCAATAAGATGCTTTCTTTTTCAATGCTAATACACAGTAACAAAAGAACAAAGAAAACACACACATATTTAATTGTTATATAAAATGGACCTTATGATGATCCTAGACATAAACATCAACAACAGCACCCATAAGGAGTGTAACTTGGATAATACAATGATTCGCCTATACATTGTGACAGATGCATGCAGCATTACTTTGTTAGTCAGACAATCTCATCAACAACTGCTTGTCTATCAACAACTTGTCTATCAAGTAACTGATTTGTCACATTTGTGGAAAGTGAGTAAGTGTGATCGGCAATTCTGAAAATCTCACCAGACAAATGTATCTAAATTACCTGTATACTATCCATTCAATATATAATGCAGTGCTAGAAGCAGGACTTCTCTGTAAAATATATTTGATTTTGTGATTGCATAGGCTATAATATTTCATTTTACATTTTATTATTTATCTATCTATACATGGCATATTTTTCAATATTATTTGTATTCTTTTGTTCAGGTACAATATGTATATGGAGTAATGAAATCTAGAGTTTGAATGGGCAATTTAAGCAACATAGCCACAAATGCTCACTGAAGTGTTTGTGTTATTTAGAGTATTCTTATACTGGATGCAAATCAAAACGTTATGTAAATGTGTACTCTTTTCAGTGCCCAGGTACCATCCCCATATCGGCTGCATTGATAATATAAAATTACCACTTTCCACAGTTTCCCTTTCACCCAACATGGACGGGTTAGCCCACCCCATTACTCTCTTCCAATCACCACTGTCCAGATAGATGGAAATCGCCACTGATAACATGGATGCTGTCCAGGAAGTAGGAGGGTCTGGGAGGGAGGGTCTGACGGAGATTGGCAGGGATGTGTCAGCTGACCGGAGTTCGCCACGAATGGTTCGCGACATCACTAATAGTGAGATGTCAGGAAAGGTTAAACACCAGATTCAGTGAATGAGGTTGAGACTGCACGTCATTCTCTAGTAATTGTTCTGCAAAGGAGGTTCAGGACATGAAATATGTCATTGAGAAAAAGATTTTTGGTGTAAAAAGACACTGCAATTATATGTTTATTTTAAATATGATATTGCTTTTGAAGAATAGAAATATATAAATGCATAAAGACCGTTTTATTTTAGCACTAATTAGATAACACAAAATGTTAAATACATTTAGAGAAATATGAAATAGGTGAATAAATAATATTTTTTTATATTTCCCTTATAGTATGGGAAAAGATGGAGTTGGAGACCCTCTTCATTCAGTGCACAGCTTTTGGGTAAATAATACTTTGTTAGAGACACATTGTGATACTGTGGTTGGAACATCATAAGTTTTGTTTGATCAACTGAAAATGCAAATATTGCTTGAAGCAATAACAATTTTATGTGTTACCTCATTTCAAGAATTAAACATTAAACTACTGCACTAGAAGCCATAATTTATGAAAACAGACACAATCCTTCTGTCTCTTTATTCTATTAACAACTCCTTAATCTGATATCTCTCACTTTAGGCTTCAATGTATTGCTTACTAACGACACATAAACTCATCCTACTGAAAAGCCTGCTTCTAGATGGCTACGAGCAATATTCTAAACTGTTTTACAGAAACACAGAGCTTGTTAAAGCTCACATTTTTCATACTTCTACACGCTATACTTACTTGCACCTTTTAGAGATAAATCATATGTTAGAATCATTGTTTTGTTGTTCAATTTTTGAATTTAAACTATTTAACTATTATTTAATCATTCACTAGAGAGTTGACTCCAGAGTTCTTCTGAGAAAAGGCAGTGTTTACATTGCCGGCTATGGGCACTTCAGGCATATTTTCCTTGTGCGGTCCTGCAATCTTATCAGGACATACATTCTGTGTCTTCATACTCTACATGAATTTGCCAAATGCTTCCAATAGAGAAGCACATGGCTCTCTATGAGGAGATGCTGATTTGAGCATTGCAGCAACTTATATGCATGCACACTAGCCCCCCAGAGCTTCCCTATGGAGAAGTAATTGGCTCTGTTGTAATGAAAACTGGCATACCAAGGGATTAAAGGTACATCTAAATTATTTATTTAATTATATTTAAATAGTTTGCAAAACAATCCAATTTTAGAAATATATGTTTGTATTGCTAACATTTGAGTGTTCCTTAAACCTCTTTATTACCTAAATCTTATTTTTTTTTAAATTACATTTTAAAGTATGTTGTAGAATGAAATCTAGTCTATAAAAGCTCACTCATCTATACTCTAATTATGATTACCACTCTATAGAGTAACACATTTCTCAGTCAGAAGCCACTTGACACTACTTTGATGCCGGTAAATTTGTTGAATATGTAAACTCATCCCCTGCTTTCAAACAGTACAGTAAGTTTTAATAGGTTATAGCTTGGCTTAGATATAGTAATTTTCTCCCAATGTGTAGGTTAATCCTTGACAAAATTTCACAAATGTTTTAGTTAGGGCATAGTAAACCAACACCCAGGAAATGGGGCACACGGAGCCCACAACAAAATTAACAAGGTACAAATGAATCCTAAAATCAAAATCAAATTTAAAATATTTATTTTAAATATTTTTAATCTATTTTTAAAAGCATTACAATGGGCAAAAGAGGGAGAATTTTGGATGCAGCAAAACCCATTCTGAAGTCAGACACAATATCTTCTAAGTTATAAGATATTAACGGAGAAGGAAATGGTAGGTCCTTGGTAGAATCAGTTTTTAAGAGTCTGCATTACCTATGTACAATCTGGCCAGTTAAACACTGGTAAAACATAATAGGATGTGCATGTGCTCATAAGTAAGATCAAGTAGATGTTAGGATAAATAAAATTATATTGTATCAGGGAATCGTTTTTAATTGTGCTCTTAATATTACTTCAATACCACTAGATGGCAATATCAAGCTACAAAAGATTTGCCCTCAGTTTCACATTGAAGGGAAAGAAAAACATACAAAAAGCTAAATTTTGTCACTAAAACAAATATCCTTTCATAGAGTATCTCATGGATTTGTATCAGGGAGAAAGGAAGGACAAAGCAGAGCAGCAATATTTCTTCCATCAGGAACATATTTGACAATGCAGGCAGATTTGAGTAACTCTAGATACAGAATGATGAATCAAAAATAAAAAAAATATAATAAAAACAGCTAGAAACAGTTAGAAGTTGAAATTACAGTTTATATTAGAACAATTCACACATTTCAAACTAGAGAAGAATCACACTTTGTGTGGAGAAGGCAAAATATATTGATGGCAAAATATATTGATTTATAACCACAGTAGAGATTTTTTTTTCAAACTTAGAATATTTCAAGAAATATCTGCATTAAACAAAGGCACATGGAAAACATACTTTGTTCTTTTGATTTAGATGCTCATGATACTTGTGATCACACATGTTTAAATTTAATGTAGACTATTTTACACCTGACACGTCTCTTTAAAATTCTTTAATTACAGAGCAAGTGTCTTCATGCTGTGTTAACATTTGTAAAATGCTTCATCAGTTTTGTTGCAGTTTGCCATTAACACAATCTCCTTAAAGACACAATGTCGTCACTAAGTGCATTGTCTATTTAGCATTTGGTAGGTCAATACTATCCTCCAGTCACTCCACTGATTGATTATATTTTGTAATGTAATAGGATCAATAAGGAATAAATTGCTTTGATTTCTTTGGCATCACTGGTCCTTAATAACCTTAAGAAATAGTTAATAACATAAATCCTGTCTCTAGCATCTGATCTCCCAGACTAACCTGCATTAGAGCCAGCAAGATAGGCATGATGGTAAATATCTCTGGTGTTAATGAGTTTCAAAGCAGGTAGACCGATTGTTCTAAAATTATTTTAACATGATTCGATAAAATTAAATGTATTCATTTAATAAAAAGAATATTTATAACATGGACAATTGCATTATTATCCAAAAGTGCTAAGGCACTTGGAAAATACAGTCTTTTGTTGTTAAAGTGCATATAAATATTAGTGCAGCTGACACCACTTAAAGTTATCAATACAACGCTTCTGAACATGATTATAAACCATATAAAAGTGTTGGTCTTAAAATACAAATAAAAAACAAACTCCAGTACTAATGGCGTAGAAACAGACCAAGGAAACTTAAAGGACCACTATAGGCACCCAGACCACTTCAGCTCAATGAAGTGGTCTGGGTGCCAGGTCCATCTAGGATTAACCCTTCTGCTGTAAACATAGCAGTTTCAGAGAAAGGGTTAATTCCAGTCTCTAGTGGCTGTCTCATTGACAGCCGCTAGAGGCGCTTCCGTGATTCTCACTGTGAAAATCACAGTGAGAAGACGCCAGCGTCCATAGGAAAGCATTGATAATGCTTTCCTATGGACTGGCTGGATGCGCGCGCGGCTCTTGCTGCGCATGCGCATTCAGCCAATGATGTCGGAAGGAGGAGGAGAGTCCCCAGCGCCGAGGGAGCCCGGCGCTGGAGAAAGGTGAGTGTTTAACCCCCTTCCTCCAACTTCAGCCCGGCGGGAGTGGGGGCACCCTCAGGGCACTATAGTGCCAGGAAAATGAGTTTGTTTTCCTGGCACTAGAGTGGTCCTTTAATAAAAGAAGCTGCACCACAGTAATTTAGTATTAATTAAGTATATTTTAAGTATATGGTTTGACATACAATATAGTCTTAAAGTCACAGCATACCTTAAATTTTTTTAGAATACAAATAGTTATAGATACTTATATATCCAAATACCAAGATCTGCTGTGCAAACAATCTTCCTGCACATCTGAAAAATAAAAAGTGCTTTATAGTGCAGTATATCTGTATATTATTGAATGTCTTATACAATTTCCAAAGTAATGCACAGTAATCACAATTCCCAGAGTCACTTTAAATCAGCTCCGGGTAAATACATCAAATCTTAGTATTTATCCCCTTAGTGACCAGACAGTTTTTCAATTTTCTTACCGTTAAGGACCAGGGCTGTTTTTACATTTCTGTGGTGTTTGTGTGTAGCTATAATTTTCCTCTTATTCACTGTACCCTTATTACTGTACCTACACATATTATATACCATTCTCACCATTAAATGGTCTTTCTAAAGATACTATTATTTTCATCATATATAATTTAATATAAAAAAATATTAAATATGATGAAACATTTTTTTAAAAACACACTTTTTCTAACTTTGGCCACCAAAATCTGTTATGCATCTACAACCGCCAAAAAACACTGTGCTAAATAGTTTCTAAATTTTGTCCTGAGTTTAGAAATACCCAATGTTAACATATTCTTAGCTTTTTTTTTTTTTTGGAAAGTTATAGGGAAATAAGTACAAGTAGCACTTTGCTATTTCCAAACCAGTTTTTTTCAAAATTGACAAAAGTTACATTGTAACACTGATATCTGTCAGGAATCCATGAATAACCCTTCACATGTATATATTTTTTTTAAAGAAGACAGCTTAAGGTATTAAACTTGGGGTATGTTAACTCTTTTCATGCAACCATTGTATCACCAATCTATGCCAAATTTAAAAATAAAATAATAATTGGTGATTTTTTTGACACACGTAGTAATTTAAGAAAACATTTACTGAGAATGTTAAAAGTTACTGCAAAAGAACACCCCAATATGTGTTCAGCAACATCTCCAGAGTACAGTAATACCACCCATGTATGGGTGTGTTGTGTTCTCTGGGGGCTACAAAAACCTTATTTGGAGGGTGCGCATTCCAGTTTTCCAACTTGGGATTTTCACATCTGGTCATCATGCACCCATGTTATATTTGGGATATTTTTGAATCCGGCCAATGTAATTTACCCACATCAAACCATATGTTTTTGAAAAGACACCCTAGGCTATTTCAATTGGTGGAATTTTAACACTTTCCATGCACTAATTTCAACCACCAGTCTTTGTCAAACTTTTGGGTAGTCATTTTTTTGTGTTATTTTTTTTACACACATTGTAC